GTGCCGAGGCCCCCGGGAGCGTGGGGCTCCCCCCCGGGAGCCTGGCTTCAGGTAGATCTTTTAAACCGCGCCCCAGGCCCTGGCCGGTTTGGCTCAGTGGGTAGAGCGTGGGCCTGCGGACTGAGGGTCCCAGGTTTGATTCCGGCCAAGGGCACATGCTGGATTGCGGGCTCCATCCCCAGTAGGGGGCGTGCAGGAGGCAGCCGATCAATGATTCTCTTATCATGTTTCTCTCTCTCTGTTTCCCTCTCTTCCTCTCTGAAATCAATAAAGATATATTAAAAAAAACAAACAAACACCAAACCGCTCCCTAGGAAGAAGAAACCCCTCGCCAACTAAGCTGGAGAAAAGACACACTGGGGTGCGGGGTGAGGGAGATACATGTCACCCGGTGGTGGGGCGGTGGTGGGGCATAGGTCGGAGTCCCTTCATCACCTCAGTGGCTAGCAGTTACTGGGGGCGGGGAAAGAGTGAGGAACCCCTTTGTAAGTCACAGGGATGTGAGACATGACTGAAACAACACGTTCTCCCTCCATTTGGAAGTTTGGGGCTCGGCATCTTAACCTTCACCCTTCATTCACGTTCCCGTCTTTCCTCAAAATCCCGAGGAGAGCCCAGGAAAAGGGGGCCAGAGGGGACCAGGGAGAGGGCTGCAGAAGCAGAGCCCGCTGCCGGGGGCGAGGCCTTTGGTTCCTCAAGCTCACGGGGACCAGTGTCTCCCGGAGCACACGCCGGCCAACGAACGGGAGTGGAGGCGGAGGTGGGGAGCAAGCAGCTGCCGGCCGACTCCGGCCTCCCGGAGCGTCTGGGTGTGGGGACGGGGAGGTCTGAGACCCTCAGAGGCCGGGTCCGGCCCTCTGTGTGAGGGCAGGAGTGGGATGGGCTGACGGTGAGGCTCTGGGCGGAACACCTCTCCCTTCCTCCGCTCGGACTTGGTGGTTCTGCCCTTCTTCATTGGCGGGTCTGGAGCGAGCTTGCCGGAGGAGCGTGCCCGTCTCCCCTCCTGGGCCGCCCGGTCCACATGGACCCCATTCCGCCCTTCGCCCGGTTCCCTGATCGCACCCCGG